ATTCCACCTTTATCCATTTACCTTTATTCAAAGTTTACGAAATTCAGAACTATTTACAGTCTGTTTTTATACCCTCCACCAAAAAAGGTATGGAGGGTATATTAAGTTCGTCATTCCGTTTGTAACTCATCGAAATGATCAGCGTAAAATTCTAAGACGATTTAGCCCTGTCCGTCCGTCTGTCCGTCTGTTGCAATCACGCTACAGTCTAAACGAATTAAGATAGGAAGCTAAAATTTTACACAGATCTCTCTTTTGTCTGCAGGCAGGTCAAGTTCGAAGATGGCCTATATCGGTCCACGATATCGTATAGCCCCCATATAACGGTACCCCCCGATATTCGGTATTTTGATGATTTTACCCACATTTTGCAACGGAATTGTCTGAAAAACCACACAAGGAGTTCCTTGTGGGTACTTTATACCTCGGCAGAGAATTGTCCATATAGGTCCACGATATCGTATAGCCCCCATGTAACGGTACCCCCCGATATTCGGTATTTTGATGATTTTACCCACATTTTTCAACGGAATTGTCTGAAAAACCACACAAGGAGTTCCTTGTGGGTACTTTATACCTCGGCAGAGAATTATCTATATAGGTCCACAATATCGTATAGCCCCCATATAACGGTACCCCCCCCGATATTCGGTATTTTGATGATAACGGAATTATCTGAAAATCCACACAAGGAGTTCCTTGTGGGTACTTTATACCTCGGCAGAGAATTATCTATATAGGTTCACAATATCGTATAGCCCCCATATAACGGTACCCCCGATATTTGGTATTTTGATGATTTTACCCACATTTTTCAACGGAATTGCCTGAAAATCCACACAAAAAGTTCCTTGTGGGTACTTTATAGCTCGGCAGAGAATTATCTATATAGGTTCACAATATCGTATAACCCCCATGTAACGGTACCCCCGATATTCGGTATTTTGATGATTTTACCCACATTTTTCAATGGAATTGTCTGAAATTCCACAAAAGGAGTCCCTTGTGGGCATTTTACCTCCTCAAAAAGAATTGTCTATATAGGTCCACGATATCGTATATCCCCCATATAACTGTAACCCCCGATATTCAGTATTTTGATGATGTTAGCCACGCTTTTCAATGGAATTGTCTTAAAATCAACACAAGTAGTTCCTTGAGAGTACTTCACCCCCTGAGAGAGAATTGTCTATACAGGTCCACGATATCGTATATCCCCCATATAACGGTACCTCCCGATATTCGGTATTTTATGATTTGACCCACATTTTTCATCGGAATTGTCTGAAAATCCACACAAGGAGTTCCTTGTGGGTACTTTATACCTCGGCAGAGAATTATCTATATAGATCCACGATATTGTATAGCCTTCATATAACGGTACCCCCGATATTCGGTATTTTGATGTTTTTAGCCATATTTTTCAACGGAATGGTCACAAGGGGTTCTTTGTACACAAGGGGTTCTTTGTGAACACTTTACCCCCCGACAGAGAATTCTCTATATAGGTTAACGATAACGTATAGCTCCCATATAACGGTACCCCGCGATGTTCGGTATTTTGATGATTTTAGCCACATTTTCCAATCGTATTGTCTGAAAATCCACACACGGAGTTCTTTGTGAGTACTTTACACCCAGACATAGATTTGTCTTTATAGGTCCACAATATCGTATATCCCCCATATATCGGCACCTTCCTATATTAGGTATTTTAAAGATTTTAAAAGAATTTTTATTGGATTTTATTTTTTTGAAAATTTTCTAATTCGTTCCAAATGGTGGAGGGTATTCAAAGTTCGGCCCGGCCGAACTTACTGCTTTTTTACTTGTTGTAAAATCGTTGGTGTTCAAATGCATTCGTTTTAATTTGGGTTCTTATAAATATTTTTAAAGCTCTCGTCAATTCCCAAAATGTTTTATTTAATTTCATTAGTTATCAAAAAATTATAAAATAAAATTTAAAAGTATCAAGAACATATTTGAAGAATATAGTTCTGCAAGGTGCACCAACAAAAAGTTAATATGTAAAAACCGTTCATATATAAATTCCCCATCCCACACATAAAATTTAGGCGTGATTCTATAACAAACAGCCAATATCTGTTCAAAACAAAGGGCCCCCTCCTATCGTTTTTTTTCTGACATTTTCTTTTTTCGTTACAAAAACCAAAAATAGAAAAGGAAAAAATCTTTCTTGGGTTTGTCGCTGACAGAAAAAACATGTAATACAAAAACCCAAAAAACAAAGTAGTCAGGCTTAATCCCATTATAGCTGTATTTATAAAAACAACTGTTGTTTATTAGTAGAGACTTCTATTACAAAAAAAAAAACATTTTTTACCCAAGTGACGAGATCGTAAGCTCAATAGAAGAGGAACCAAAGAATTAAATAAAACTAAAATTCTTTTGGAAAGTCTTCTAAATCTTACAACCGCACTTTAATTTTTAAAATAACTTCTGGGGAGAATATCCCAGACAAAAAACAAGGGAACTGATGAGGATTGGTGGCTCTTTCCGAAACCTAGGTAACCCCTGCCTTACCCCCTGGTAAACAAGGGAACTGATGAGGATTGGTGGCTCTTTCCGAAACTTAGGTATCCCCTGCCTTACCCCCTGGTAAACATTACCATCGTTCTCCACTAATAAACAAACGTTGTTTTTATAAAAACAACAATAAAGGGATAAAACCTGGCCATTTGGCAACAACAAAATTTGCAAATATTTTTTAATATTTTCTACATTTCCGCTTGTGTTTTCTTCTACCATGCTAGTGACAAATGCAACAAGTTGTTTTGTTTATTTGATACTTTCCTCGCAATATTTTAATTTAAGAGAAATTGCGAAAAATGAAAAATTAAGGATATTTTAATTTAAGGAAAATTGCGAAAAAAGATTACAACGTTTTTTTTATCCCAAATCGCATAGATGTATTATTCCCAAAATCTGTAAATATGAATTTAAATTGCAATAGAATTTGAACATTTTTAAAATCAGTTCGTTTATTATTCAAAACAATGCTTACACATACAAAAACCGTATATGTGCTTTAACTTTGCAAGAATACCATAAGAAAAAATTGTATTCAGGAAATCACCTCGGAAAATTATGGCTATTGCGTTGTCTGAAAATGATCGTCCGTAAAATAATATTTTTGTTAATATTTTAAATCTGTCTTCTACATGTTTTATATGCTCGTTTTAAGTATACAGGGTGAGATGAAAAAACTGCAACCGACTTCAAACTGCTGTCATTTCTAAGCCACTCGTCCGACAGTTGTTAAAATTATTCTAGTGACATCTCATTATATTGTTTACAAGCGTACAAAAGCATTTTTGGGAGAATTTTCCAGAAAAAAAGATATTCGTGATGGAATTCAAGCGTGATAGTGTGATTTCTTTATACTTGGCTGGGAAACCACAAGTGGCTATCGTTAGAGCACTTCAACATTTAAATGTGAATAAATCTTTTAACGTAGACCGAGGTCAAGGAAATGGACGGAAGAAAACTGCAACATCAGCAGAAATGCTTCGAAAAGTAAAGAAGCGATTTGATCGAAACCCGCATCGCAGCGGCCGAAAAATGGCTCGTGAGCTGAACATATCGCAATATTTCATTCGGCAAATACTGAAATATGAGTTTGGGGTAAAGCCATTGAAATTCCAAAAAGTGCAAGAACTTACACCGCAACAGAAAGAAAATAGACTCAAAAGAAAATAAAAAGAAAATAAAAATAAAAAAATAGACTCAAAGATTTTGGTTTGGGATCTGATTAAGTGCGCTGCAATCGTGTTTGGGTAACCAAAACGTCCTCTAGGATCATCGTTCGGTACACGTAATCAAATGATGAAATAAGTTTTTAAAGTTTGCATCTTAAAAATAGTTTATAGTGTGTGTGTGTAATCTGTGTTGAAACAAAAGACTTAAGAAACATAGACTCCAATAGGCTAAACCAAGCAATTTCAATATATGATTTATATCTATTTTTAAGTTATTATCTGCATGAATAATCTTTAGAGGTTCATGTAGCTTTGTTTATTGTCGAAAAATTAGTGTTGCGCTGACTCATTTAACAGAAATTAATAACGTTTTTGGGAAGTAATTTCTTCTTGCAAATACAATAGTTAAAACAAGACTTCAGGAACATACACACATACATAAGAATATAGTACACGTTACATGTGGTTTTAAGAAATGAAACTAGCAAATTAAATCTTCTTGGAGGCATGTGTATTTTTTCAAAAATTATATTCAAATTAATTTTCATCTGGGGCACAGCAATAGTTTTTACTGTGGGTCTAAGGGTCTTTGTTCGAATATGCTTTAAAAATTGTCACAGTCAGACGGGATTCTAATTAAATGTATTTTTTTTTTTTGAAAACTCCTACGCTCAGGCAGGTGTTCTTAAAAATAATTTTCCTCGAGTGTATCCGCGTGTAATATACTGGTTACACCGAATTGGGTATTGTTTGTAAGTATGTACTACTTACAGGTGTTCTTAAAAATAATTTTCCTCGAGTGTAATCCGCGTGTAATATACTGGTTACACCGAATTGGGTATTGTTTGTAAGTATGTACTAAGCACGAAAACAAAACACCAATTTAGGTCTTATTATTATGTGTGCGAGTGTGTGTGTGTGTGTGCACAATCATCATTAAGAAATGATTTCTTTATGGCGTTTACGCTCTTCACAACATACGAATTTTGAAAAAGAAAGTAGGTAGGTTATTTGTCTGCTGCATCAATACTATAAAACGCACACACACACACATAACCCGCTCGAAAAATAAAAACTTTATTGACGTGTACCTACCTATGGTCGCTAGTCAATTGGCAGATAGGTTGCTCACACTTTAGAAATGTTTGCTTGCAACTCCATCCAACATGTTTGATCTGTTCAAGAGACAAAGTGAGACCAAATAACTTGTACATACATACAGAGTAGACTTCGTCTTGACACAAATTTTGTATTCAGGCAAAGAAATGCAAGAACTTATTCCGATGCTTCAACACCAAATGTGTTGTGACCGCTGCTGAGTACTGATCAGAAGGAAACAAGTCTTCATTGTAGACGGGAGCTTTGTCGGGCGTACAAGTCGTTATTTTAACTCCCGGTGTTAAGAAGTCAGTTGAAGCAAAGTAGTAACGTTCAACACATTTCTAACTGCTGCTCGTCGACAAGTAGTGAACCAGAGCACCAATTTAAGGAAAAGACGCAGTTCACCGCACGAGACTGCAAAATCAAAAAGCGTAACTTTGTAATCGGTACTAAGTGATTGTGAAAGTTCGTTGCGTTGCGTGTTGGAAAATGTTAGTGAAGAAGGCCATTTTGTTGTTGGCATTGTTATGCTTCAATTTATCCTTTGGCCATACCACACAACGGCCCGGTGGCCGTTCTTCAGCAACAGATGACGATTCGAATCCGCTGTTCGACATGGCCTCGATGTTTATTCAGGAAGCTATGAACAATCAAAATAACGGAGGGCGGGGAGGTGGCGGTGGGGGCGGCGCTGCATTGGCCGGCGTGGCCTCATTGATTGGTTCGTTCATGCAAGCCAATACTGGAGGTCAAGGCAAAAGTGCCGGATCCGGTGCTATGCAAATTTTGTCTGGTCTCGGCAGTCTTTTGGCCAATTCGGGAAATAACAATGGACGCAATGGTGGTGGATTTGATCCATCGATAATCGGCAATGTCATTGAAATGTTTACACAGGGTGATGATGCCGACGAGGATGATGGTGGCGAACATAATCATAATCATCATCAACAGAAACGTGAAAGCGGTGAGTCAGGCATTGATTTAGGTTCAATTCTTCAAATTGCATCAGCGTTCATGGGTCAGAACAATGAACAGCCATCACAGCGTAGCGGCCAGCATCATCAACAAAAGCGGGCAGCTGATGGAAAATCACGCAATGGCCAACAAGAGGAAAACGGTTTTATGAGTCTGCTGCCATTGTTAATGCAAGCTGTTAGCTCTTTTGCTGGGCCCGAAGGTCAACATACACAGGAAAAACATAAAGATCATGCCTGGGTCCTGCCACCCTTCCTGGAACACTTACACGTCTTGTGGGATCATTTTTCAAACTCTGAATTGGCTGATGCACTGTATGAGAAATCGGGCATTAACAAAATCCTAAAGGTGAGTCGGAGCAGAGAGGGGAAAGTTAGTGCCAACAATACAATCTGTATACATTTCCAATAGGGATTCAAAGGACGTGATGGCAAGGTGGATTATGACAAACTGTTCGAATCGCTCAATAATCAATCATTCCGCAGACGTTGGATTAAATCGGCAACATTGTACCTGGCCGATTGGGCTAGTTATTTGGCTAATCCTGAAGTCTACCTAAAGTAAGTACCTACATCTAAATAGAGGTATCTAAAAAAGGTTATTATTTTAGATTAACGTACGTAAACAGGCCATAAAATCGATCCACTTTTGTCAAAATGTTCTGTTAACTTTTCCCTATGATTAATTCACAATTGGTTTGATTTAAATTCTTATCTCTATTCACAATTGGTCCATTTTGACAGCAAGCTCTTTACTCAACAGTCTTATTTTCCAATCTTGTATAAACCTTGATATTAAGAAATGTTAGCCCAGAGAAGCACACAGAAATGTATTTCGTCCAACTAGCAAGATAATGACAATTTCCTTCTCAGAGGGGACAGCAACCCCAGGGGAAATTTTTAAGATAAGAACACGTTTTAACATAGACAGCTGTATAGATATCCTTCTTCTACCGATTTATATAAAATAATTTCCAAACGTTGCTGACACCATCAACGTTTTTCCATTCTTAATTGTTTTGCAAATCTGTATAAATAATAGCAGAAAGTAAAGTCGTTTAACTTCTGTCTAATCACTTAAACTGTCAGTGGAGAGTTTCCTTTACATTCGCCAACTTTAGCAGAGATGTGTTTAAACTTGGTGCAAATTAATGATTGGTGAAATCCAAAATTCTCGTCTTTGTCTTAAGGAAAACGAAGAAGAAGTTTCATGACCCACTTTTTATTCCACATTCTTTTACTATATGACCAAAAACAAAATACACACATATCTTGTAGGTGAGAAATGTATCTCAAACAAAGATGAAGACTTTGGCGTAAGCAACGATCAGTACAAGTTGTTTGAGTCCAGCTGATCCATACCAGCGGTTTGATTCTAACCATTCGGTTGCGTGTATCATGCATTGGCTTAAACAAGAAGGTAGCACGTAACAGTTATACTAGTGATACAGTCAAGTCTCTACTCGTATTTACATATATATATATACATAAAGAAAACTTTCTGTTTGTATATAAATGAGTGTATGTGTGTATTTGAATTTAAATGAAATCATGATGAACCTGTTAACAAACACCGATCCCCATTCTGTCAGATATTCTTAGAAATAAATCTTACATATATCTACCTACAAAAAAAGATTGTCGTTACTGAACACGAATAACTTTTGTTAGAGAATAGTTTTTAAATGTGTGAGCAGTTTTGGTCGCAAGAAAGTTTGTATGTATACACATAGCTACATAGTGAAATTAGGTCAATCAAAAATTAACATGAATTCGAATTTTGTTTGGTCGTGGTTTTTTCCAAGTCAACGTTCTTTCTTTGCGCCAATGCTTGACAACGTTAGCTGTTGTTAGATACAGAAGTTAATTTGTGTATTGTTTTCTCTTTCGTTTCTCCCACAAGGCCTTATCATAAAGATATATTTTCACTTTTAAATTTCACTTTTAGAAAAAATGAAAAATGTGTTTAGCTTTAGTAACGAAACTTTAAACTATACAAAAAATATAAATTATGGAAAAGAATTAAGACAGTGGAGTTCCCTTTAAAAAACTTTCACATAAATAATGAATATTTCCCAAATAAATATAGTTATGTTCGAGATTAAGACCCGTTTCCATAGCCAACCTTCAATCATTTGGACAAAAATAGAATAATTAACAAATATTTTTCATCAAATATTGGGTTGTAAACATGGTACAATAGGAAGGTATAACCGCTTCGTAAAACGACAGAAATGCAGCCCTGAGGCTATGCCCGTTATATGGCAACTTTGGATGCAACAAGTTGTTTGCATTTATTCAAAATTTTTCTTCATTTTTAAAATCATTTAAAAAGCGGAAATAGGAATGAAATGCCTAGATTTCCTTTCAAAAATATGATATAAACAGTTATATTTTTCAATTCCATAACAAAACTGGCGAATTACTTTAATGCGCGTTTCACAATGTACGCGTCATCCAATCAATGATTTTGAAAATATTCTGTTTTTATTTTTCAAAAAAGTAAATGGATACACAAAATTGGCAAAAGTCGGCACATTAAAAAATTGTAATCAGCTGGTAGCTCTACCTCACCTTTTTATTGTACAATGAGTTGTAGCATAGGGTAATGCTAATGATAATGTAAAACTTTTTACTACGATAGGTGATTTTCCCTTTATGATATATTGAAGAAAATTGCTAAAATAGTAAATTGTTACAGGTTCTGGAACAGAGCAATTAGCATGGTAGAAGAATACTGATCAAGAATACTGATCATCAATACTTTGGGACATTGATATGGCAAAATTTGAAAATGTTTTTTTTTTTTTTTTCAAAAATAATAGATGTTTATATGTTTTCTTATATGACGCCACTCGGAGGTTGTTATGAAATGCATTCACAATTTTTACAAATTTCAATATTTTTTCATTCAAAACTTTCAATTCCAAAATTGGTTTGACAGTTCATTGCCCCAGCAACTGTGTCGATGCACCATAAAGGTTATTTAGCACCTTTAACAACTAAATTTGCTCTCAAAAGAGACAATTGTGATTTGAAAATAAAAAAGTCAAATAACACATAAAGGAGGAGGACTGCAACAAAATGTCGGAAATAGCATCAAATTTTAGAATAAGTTTACATTTGTTCGAATTTGTCACCTTTGGCACGAATTACGGCCATCAAACGGCCAATGAAACCGTCACACGCAGCCCGAATGTAGCTCTGCGGTATTTTGGCTCATTCCCGGCGAAGCGCTTGCTTGAGGCAGAGCGACCTTCGGGTGTTATGGCGGCCCACGCCATCACCATGGCCGGCGCTTGAGTTCTGGCGGCCAACCGTAGGTTCACATTTTCAGCTGACCTCTTTGGCAAGTAAACACGATCATTTTGTTTGTTTACAAACTGCTGGACAACGAATGTTTCCTCATCGGAGAAAACCAAATTCGGCAGTTCACCACTTTCGGCCAAGCGATGCAATTCTTCAGCTATTTTGAGTCTATTTTCTCTCTGTTGCGATGTAAGATCTTGCACTTTTTGGAATTGCAATGGCTTTACCCCGAGCTCATTTTTCAATATTTGCCGAATGGTATATTGCGATGTGTTCAGTTCATGAGCTATTTTTCGGCCACTGCGATGTGGGTTTCGATCAAGTCGCTTCTTTACTTTTCGAATCGTTTCTGCTGATGTTGCTGTTTTCTTCCGTCCACTTCCTTGACAACGGGCTACGCTACCAGTATCACGGTAACGAGCGATGGTACGAGACACAAAAGATTTATTCACCTTTAAATGCTGGAGTGCTCCAATAATGGCTACTCTGTATGTGTGTGTATCGTTTCGAAAACAATTTGAAATTTCAAATTTAGTTGCAACAAAAATCTATATTTTCAGAATAATGGGAAAACGATGTTACTCTTTGAGATGTCAATGTATATTCCTTTTATCCCGGATTCAATTTCGTGGAATAATCCCAATATTCCATTCATGTTTTGTAATTTTGCCCAATATAAAAATTCCTGAAAAAAAAAAAAAAAAACATTACAAACAAAACAAATTGTTGCATGTTTTAAAAATCTATTTGACAAAATAAGACTCTAGCACAGTGTTGCATTTTACCTATATAAGTGAAACCAACTGTGAGACTTTATTATTAGATTTACCTTTATCATTGCCCATAAATTAAGACGGGAATTTCTCATGTAAAAGTCAACATTTGCAGTCATCGATAACATTTTTATTTTTTATGCATTTTTCGCAATTTTTGATAAAAAGTTTTAAAAATGCATTTTTTTTTTAAATTATAAAAACGAAATCATAAAAAGTCATAATTTAACATGGCATCCGTTTTGTTGCAAGTTCACTTTTACCTTTTTACTCGTCTCTTCACGATTTGACATATGTATATGTCATGTGTAATTTTTTTCTGGTTTAACTAACATTTAATTTTTTTACTTTAATGTTTTTACAGATACTTCCAAACGGCACAATTCATGTTCAACGGATTCCTTAAGTCCCAAGGATATCCCAAGAATACCTTTTTCGATCCCAGCAGGCCTAGCGAAACTATTTCCAATTTATTAGATCACGTTGCCAAACAACATTTGAATGTTAAAATTGATTCTCGACAATATGTAAAACCTGCTGTCGGTTACGCCAAGGATTTACTGCAATTAGGACAAGCGCGGGGAGTCTTGCAATTCAACGCGACTGAAATTAGTGACAAACTGACGGACACTATTAACTTGGAGGTTATTGAACCAGTGCTAAAAGTTCATCGTGCCTATCGCTACATTAACAAGCAACCGCAATGTGATCGTTATGTTTTGTGTCAGCTGAATGATCCGGAACAATACTCTGCTGAGGAATCAAGAGGTCTCATTTCTGGCGTTAGCCCGAAAATTGTTAAAGTTGGCAGTATGGGTGCTGCTTTCTTCATTAGTACCGAAACAGGAACTCCTTTCTGGACATTGTTTAGTGTCATTACATCGGCATCAAACTGTGAGGTAAGTACAGTACAGAGTACAGTACAGTGTGTGTGTGTGTGTGTGTAGATAAGTGTGCTTAATTGGACCAGACCATCGAGTCAGTTCACTGCCATTTTTAGTTCTACGCCATGATCAGTACCTCTTCTTTCTTGTATTTACACACGCACGCAGACATACATTTATTTGCTACAACTTGCCGTTCTTTTCATTTGAACAATATATTCTACATTTCATTTCTTGATTTACTTTCTAGGTTAAATATCCTGTTGATTGTGGCGGTTTCCATGAGGGCGAAGCCAGAGTGACTACTGAATACATTCACAACGAACTGTAATTCCTTTATCTGACTCTAACGGTAGAGCAATGCCAATTAACAACTCAACGTCGTGGTACTATTATTATGTATGTATGTCTGTTTGTGTTTGATGTGCGTCTTTGTCTGCTCCAGTTGCAGACTCGTAAATAGAACGAACGCGCAAATTTGTTGGGTAAAGAATTTTAGTCTTAAGATAGCATTTTGTTGTAAGTCTATGTAGTCGCCCCAGTTAAATGAAAACATGATAATTAAATTTCGAGTTTTCCGTCAATATCTCAAACAAAATGTAATAGGATACATTTAATTTCTCGATACTTTAGGTTAGAAATCTAATTTAATTTAACACGTTTTTACTGTGAACATTTTAAGCTGTTTTTTTATGTAAATAATAATTAGTATTATCTCCTATGACAATAAAAATAAATGAAATTCAAGAAAATATGCATTTATTTGGCTATCTTCCATTAAGATAAAAAGTAATAAAAAGTTGTACATTCTTGCAGTTCTGGAACAGAGCACATAAGAAGCCGAGTTGTATGAGAATACATACGATAACTAATTTCTTCCTTTATTATATCGGAAAAAAGTGTAAAACATGTACTTTCCTGCAGGTTTTAGAACAGAGCTACACTTGTTTTTTTTTTCAGAACCTGCAACAATTTATTAGTTTTGTATTTCGTTATCATAATGGGAAAATCGGTTATCGTAGTAAAAACTTTTACATTTTGCAACTGTTTGCATGGTATAATTATTGCAGGTAGCAGCAAACCTCAGCTGATTCGACCCTATATATTAACTTTGTCATTCCGTCGTCATAGACCCCATAAGGTATATATATTCATAATCAGCATATAATTGTAAGTCGATTTAACGATATGCGTCTGTCTGTCTGTTGAAATCACGATACAGCCCACATTATTTGACGTAGAACTTGAAAAAAGTTCGGCCTGGCCAAACTTAACGTTTTTTTCTTTTTTGGTATCATAAAGGGAAAATCGGTTATCGAAGTAAACTCTTTTACATTTTGCAACTGTTTACATGGTACAATCCATGGTATAGTTAATACAGGTAGCAGCAAACCTCAGCTGATTTGACCCTACAGGGTGAGATAAAAAACTGACAAACGCCATAATTTTTACATATTTTTTCATTTTATTGAATGAAAGCAAAAAAATGTCGGAAATAGCATCTAATTTTAGAATAAGCTTAGATTTGTTCGAATTGGTCACCTTTGGAACGAATTATGGCCTTCAAACGGCCAATGAAACCGTCACATGCTGTCCGAATGTTTCTCTGCGGTATTTCGGCCCATTCCCGGCGAAGCGCTTGCTTGAGATGATCGACACTTTGGTATTTTTTAGTGCCAACCTTGCTTTCCAAAATTCTCCAGACACAATAGTTCAACGGATTGGTATCCGGAGATTTTGGTGGCCATTGTGCGCTGGAAATGAAGCGAGGAACCTCATTTTATAACCATTCTTGATTGGCGCGTGCTGAGTTCGATGGTGCTGAATCCTGTTGGAATGTCCAAGGTCTGCGGCCAAAATATTTGCGTGCCCAAGGCCTTAATACACCCTCCAGAATATTTTCACGATAATATTCGGCATTTACTCTGATGCCACGGTTTATTAATACAAACGGAGAGCGACCATCGGCTGTTATGGCGGCCCACACACCACACCACGAAGGTGCACATTTTTAGCTGACCTCTTTGGAAAGTAAACGCGATCATTTTGTTTGTTTACAAACTGCTGGACAACGAATATTTTCTCATCGAAGAAAACACTACCCAAATTCGGCAGTTCTTCACTTTCGGGCAAGCAAAGCAACTGTTTACCTCTTTTTGAATCTATTTTCTTTCTGTTGCGGTGTAAGTTCTTGCACTTTTTGGAATTTCAATGTCTTTACCCCGAGCTCATTGTTCAATATTTGCCGAATGGAATATTTCGACAGTTCAGCTCACGAGCCATTATTCGGCCACTGCGATGCGGGTTTCGATAAAGTCGCTTCTTTACTTTTCGAACCATTTCGGCTGATGTTGCTGTTTTCTTCCGTCCATTTCCTTGACGTCGGGCTACGCTACCAGTATCACGGTAACGAGCGATTGACCAAGACGCAAAAGATTTATTCACATTTAAATGCTGGAGTGCTCTAACGATAGCCACTTGTGGTTTTCCAGCCAAATATAAAGAAATCACACTATCACGCTTGAATTCCATCACGAATAACTTTTTTTCTGGAACAATTTCTCCAAAATGCTTTTGAACGTTTGTAACCAATATAATGAGCTGTCACTTGAATCATTTCAACAGCTGTCGGACTAGTGGCTTAGAAATGACAGCAGTCTGAAGTTGGTTGCAATATACAAAAAAACAGCCATGACCTTCATCTTTACGATGCCTAAAGTCGCCGAATGTAATTCCATCAAAACTCTCTTCTGGAGGGAAGTCAGAATTGCAACGCGGTGATCGAACACCAAGTAACCTCTTGTTATTTGTAGTTCACCTCTAGTTTTCTCAAACACATATCGGCATTTACACTACGACGAAAATCGAAGTTCCCCAAGATAATTGGCGTAGTTGGTCATTCCCCAAATACATATTATCGGCCATGATTTATTAGGGTACAATATTTGGGACGAAGGCCTGAGGTCCGTAAACAAGGTCCAATGCTGTGGAAGATGTAAAACAAACTTCTGTGCAGCCCAAATTAATGCTAGTGTCTCCCTATCCATCTGTAGATATTTCTCTGAAATTTGTCTTGTGTTAGAATGTTCCGCAAGGGTCTACTTCCTGAAGAGAGATTTGGTATGAAGGAGTTGTAATAGAATGACCAAAAATAATTGCAGTTCATCATTTGTTTGCGGTTTTCGAGAGCCACACACTGATTCAATATGTCTATCCATGGATAACCCTTCCATCTATTTTGTGCCCCAAAAAATTGAAAACAGGGGCCGCAAATACCTATTGAGATGAAGGCCAAAATCTATAGGTCTACACAAATAGTCCTATTCTAATTTTGACATCGATTTCGTAAGCATACGTGCCGCAAAACCTATAGAATCTCCCAGGCGAATCTCGAAGGCGAAGACAGGTGATGATCCAGGTTTTAAATGCAACTTATCTTGAGGGGCCTCCAGTTTTCCTGCTGTTTCACTAAATAGTCCTAATACTCGAGTTTGTTTCTCAGTTAATACTGGTGTCGCCATCTTTATTGAATCGACAGTTCTCCCATGTCGATTCCATTGAAAACAAGTAAAAAAATATTAAGTTCGGCTAAGCCAAACTTTTAATACTCTCCGCCTTAGGATAAAGGAAACATTATACAAATTAGGACCCACAAATACCAATTTTTAGACAAATCCGCGAAGAAAATGCCGAATGTCGGGTGGTACCGTTATATGGGGGCTATACCAAATCGTGGACCTATACATACAATGTTTCGCCACTGGAGCTAGAACCCATAATGACCAACAAATACAAATTTTTAGACTAATCCATGAAAAAAAGGGGCAAAAATCATCAAAATACCGAATATCGGAAGGTACCGTTATATGGAGGCTATACGAAAATTTAGACCTATATATACAATGCGCCCACACCACAGCTAGAACCCATTATGTTTTACAAATACCAATTTTTAAAAATATCCGTGGAAAAATGGAAAAAATCATCAAAATACCGAATATCGGGAGGTACCGTTATATGGGGGTGTTTGAAAGACTCAAACATGTGTGTGGAAATGGAATTGGTGTTTCACACGCTTATCTAAATATTAATTAGTTTTAGTTTGCTTTATGCTAAGTACTTACATTCTTCTCAACATAGAATTTACTCTTCAGTTTATTGATAATTTTGTATTGAACTATTTACGTACGACTATGTTTAATAGTTTTTGTAAATTATAATCTACCCAACGCTGTGTTTGCCTGCTGCATAAGATAATGAGCATGTAATAAAGATTTTATGACCCCCACAAGAGATATGCAGGCAAGACAATGTACGCAAGATGAGTCGCGTTGGTCTATCACCAATTCATATTTATTCTTGAATAGAAAGTAAGGGTTGCTAGATAGTGTGTAAGGTTAAGAATTATTTTGTAAACTAGCACTTAAGATGGAATTATGAAAAAATAAATTCAGTGTCGAATCAAGCATCATACGAGCATTTTCATTCTCCTCCCGAACAGGGGGCTATACGAAAACGTGAACACATACATACAATGTTCTGCCACCGGAGCTAGGACCCATGCTTTCCAAAATACTGATGCGACGATCGTTAAATACGAGCGTTTGTTTACAAACTGCTGGACAACAAATGTTTTTCCATCGGAGAAAACCAAATTCGGCAGTTCACCACTATCGGCCAAGCAACTCTTTACCTTTTTTGAGTCTATTTTATTTCTGTTGCGGTGTAAGTTCTCGCACTTTTTGAAATTTAAATGGCTTTACCCTGAGCTCATTTTTCAATATTTGTCGAATGGAATATTGCGATATGTTCAGCTCACGAGCCATTTTTCGGCCACTGCGATCAAGTCGCTTCTTTACTTTTCAAACCATTTCTGCTGATGTTGCTGTTTTCTTCCGTCCACTTCCTTGACGTCGGGCTACCCTACCAGTATCACGTTAACGTAAATGCTGGAGTGCTCTAACCATAGTCACTTGTGGTTTCCCTGCCACTATCACGCTTGAATTCCATCACGAATAAGTTTTTTTCTGCTATAATTTTAACAGCTGTCGGACGAGTGGCTTAGAAATGACAGCAGTCTGAACAATATACATTATATACATTCTTGTGCATATTTGTTTTGATATTCAAAAGTATTCAGTGTATAATTAATTAATCACATCATATTTAAAATTTATTTATTATATATAAATACAGGTGATATAACTCGAAATATAATGCAATAAAATGGTTAATGTGTGCTAGGGCTATCGTATAGCCAATAATAATAATTTAGGAGTTAACAAAGGGCTATCTTATTTTTTCATATTCTTGCATACCCAGTCCATTCCCTCCTGTAAAAATAGTAGTAGAAACATTATTTCATTGTAATTCTTATATATTTACATTCAAGTATATACTATGCACTTTGTTTAGAGTATACAAGACAAATGAATTCATGCATTAAAAAAAAAAAAACAAAAATTTGTCAGAGCGATGTAAATGTTCATGAAAAAAATTAAGAAGGTAAAGTCATTTCAAATAAACCTTCCCACCTCTGTATTTTCTGTAATTTATGCTAGGAACACAATTGGAGCGAACGACGAATTTCGCCCTACGCGGCGACAAAATGAGCCGCGAAAATTCGTCGTATGGAACACAATACCGACGAAATTATAAAACAGCTGATGAAGTTGTTTACTTTTTGCTCATTTGTTGACTACAATGAATTATACAAGAACACATAATTCTTTACGTTCTCTATTATAATTTC